GAGTGTCGAAAATAGCCGTTTTATTTACTGTCCAAAACGACAACTGACCCTATAATCCTTTCTCCTATATTTTCCAGTAATTTGCACTAGGAGGAGGTAATAACTCGATTTTTGGGACTTTTAGTTTTGAGGTTTATGGAGAAATGCCTTTTAAACAATATAAGACTGGCTATTTAAGATCGGTACAAATTTGTTTGGGGGCTAAAAAGTTACGTCCCAGCTAGCAAATAAGTTCTGGCCCAGATCTGGCGTGATTCCGCCAGTTTTCCCGGCCCAGATCTGTCTTGCTATGTGGGGTAGATGTAAAGTAATGACAATTGTTAGATTACTTTTCCCTAGAAGTAATAAATGATCCCATTACAGTTTAAGAGAAGGAGTAAATTTGAAGAGAATATGTTTTGAGTAACCCCCCCACCCACTGGTCAGTGATGGGTCAGCTTCTTTTTTTAGAGCATAACCATAGTTTTGTGTTCTTGGAGTAGATTGTGTGTCTAGCTAAACACGTTGGCAGGCTAATGTGATGTACTGACAACTGTGTCCCCCTCACTTTTGAAACGGCTGCTTCTCCCCAGGTGTTATTTACCAAAGGTTGCAGAGGAGAGTTGCGTGCGGCCTGGCGGTCTTGCCTTGTCTTGTTTGTTTACCTTCGCTGGACTACATTTTTTCCCACCCACATTCTGCGAACACCCACACCTACTCTGCCTCCGATGACATTGGCTCTGACTCTGATCCTGCAAGAGAAACAAGCAAACAGGTCTATGGAAACAAGCCCAAAAGAAGCGACTTGACTCTAAAAAGGGCCCAAAACCTCATACACACACACATATATATGATTTTTTGGGCCCTTTTTAATGCCAAGTTGCTTCTGAATGCCAAAGGGAAAGGCCTCGGTATCTATTTCTTCAATCTCCTGAGCTGAGGAGGCGAAAAAGACGAGGAGTCTGCCAAACCTGAGGTCACTTTCGCTTATTCTACTAACCCTAGCACAGCAAAATGATTATTAATAACAGTCAGAGCCAATCGGCCTTGTACTCTCACTGCTGTGTAGGGCTCCACAAGTTATGTGAGGGCCCCGTCTCCTCCTCATGTCAAAGATGACAGGATAAACCGAAACTATCCATCTGGTCATGAAAAAAACACAGATAGAATTGTGGTGTTTACGAACTGCAACTCGGAAAGATAACCATGTCGCGTGTAAACATCTTCATATGCACAAGAAACTCGCGCTTTGCAGCAGCGGCCTCTGTGGAGTCCAGTCCAGGCAGTTATATGGACGTGACGGCTCACTCCTCACAGACACACATCATTTTAAAACAAGACAGTGATTATCTAGCCACTCAGTCAAGGTTCAGTTATGACTGATGGAAAATGGAAAGCAATGGATTGACTATTGATAGAATATTGAGACTGAAATGTTGGTTAGCTGGGCATACTGGGAAACATGGATGCACGTTGTGGAGGAGGGGGCGTGGCCGAGCGTCACATGCAGGACGGAGAGCCAGTCATGTCGAACCAGCAGGCTGAGCAGAGCTGAGCTAAGCTGAGCTGAGCGCAAAACAATCAGAAAACACTGCAAAGTCCCAGCGAGTGTGTTCTTTTATTTTGCATGTGGGCTGAAAAGCAGATTGTGTGTATATGTGTCTATCTGTCTGCCCTGTGATGGACTGGCGGCCATCCTCCCTTCCACCCAATGACTGCTGGGATAGGCTCCAGCTCCCCCCACGACCCAGAAGGATAAGCGGCTTAGGAGGTGTGAGTGTGCATGTACCTCATTCAGGTCTGTATAGGTCTGCTTATATTTAGAGCGACAGATAAAGCAAACTGCTTAAGGAGGGGGGATGTCAGGTGTGACTGTGTGACAGTTGCTAATGGTTTACATGGCTCAGGTCAGGTAGGAGGGCCCCCTTGCAGAATTTTGCTTAGGACCCCAGGGAGGTCAGGACCACAGTTGTTCTAAAGTGTCGTGGTAGAGAAATATGAAAATGTCGACTCCTGATATGTTGGGCTTTGTGACAAATAACACAGACCAGTTCCTCAGTTATAAAAAATCACACTTATGGTTTGTTAACCTGGCATTGGGCTGACGCAGAGTGGCCCGTCCTCATTTTCTGATGTTTCTTTATCTATACAATGTTCTCATTGTATTCGGAAACAGTGACACCAGTATTGGCCATATGTTTTTGCTGTTTACAAAAATTAATGTCAGTGAAAAGATCATGTAGTGTTGATCATAATACAATTTTATATCCCTCAATTCCTCAACCTGTAGTTGGAAATTAAGAGGATCCATCGAAGGCCAGTCAGATGAGAAGATTTTTACAGCTTAAAACAAAACAAATTGATTCATCTCTCATTATTTCCTTGAGTCCTTGTAAATCTGAGTTTACTAAAAAGTGATGTATCACTAAAAATAGATGAGGGCTGAAGGAGCAGATCTGATAGAGGTTAGTGATCAAGAAGAAAGTGAGGCAGAGTTGTTTCAGCTTTCAGTTAAAATAATACTGAATTTAATTGAACTCAACTTGTCACTATGACCATGAAACTATGTCACCTAGCTCATAAACATGCCTGCAGAGCAAAGTCACACTCTTTCTGATTGCAGCAACAGAGAACTGATGTGTGTTTGAATAATAAAGCGTGATTCAAATTATTGATCTGATTTTAAAGCAACATATTTTTACGACCGTGAGGCGCCTAGGAACCAATCACATACCAATTAAAAGAGGGGGTCATAGAGTTTCTGACTGTCAGTGGAAGATGGCTCCTTCAGTCTGAGGGGAGATGAGACCCCTGAGCAGAAAGCGTTCTGCGTTCTCCACTTCAATAAGAGTGAATCCGTCATAACTGTGCAGTGTGATTTTCGTGGGCAGTGAAGCTCCAACAGCTCAGAGCGTTTGGCGTTGGTTCCACAACACTGGATGATCTCCGAAATCGCACTGAAAGAGCCGTGAGTGCAGCGACACCCGACACGCTCAATCCAGTATGGGATGAGTTTGACTATGGCGTTGATGTTGTCTGTACAGCTGGAGGAGGTTCATACTGAGACCTTGTACAATTACATAATAAACTTTATGCTCATTTAAGCCATTTACAGTTTACTGCATTGATCTGTAACGATTTACAAGTGAAATAAATCATTTTGAAATCGGATGAATCTTTTTGAATCACCCTGTAGATTTAGGACCTTTCAGCCTATGTAAGAGAGCAGAGAGCACTGCTTGACTTCAGTACCTTTTCTTGATCTGTGTCTGTTGTAAGTGGATGCGTACAAACTATGAACAATCAGGTCTGCTGTGTGCCAGTTTGACTAAATAGCCGTGTTTTGGTACTTTTTTTGGCTGTTACTTCTCAAAAAGTTCATGATGAACAGATATTTTGGGGCCATTAATATAGACCAGATCCCCAGACCCCCTAGTACAGGCTTAACCCCCCCATCCATAAACCTTTTTAGAGATATGAATGCTTCAGATTTCTGGTTCTTATCAGAACCACTGGGAACAATTCTGGCAAGTTTCTCTAAAATGGCTTTTCACATCAAACCACACTTTATATAACCTTTTAATTATACAGAAATTTAGAAAATTCTTCCTTTAAAGATTATGTAATAGCCAGTACTTAGTCATTAACGTGCCAGTCCAGCAGGTGGTGCTGCTGTTGAAATGATGATATGATGATGATGATAAATAATTAAGTCCGTGTGATATTTACCCTGTTTAATAAAAACACAAAGACAGTTTTAGAGTTTTGTCTGCTTGTCAGACTGACCTTTTATCGTTCCTAAAAAAATAATAATGCTTTGCAGGAACCCTGATAGCAAGAGGATAGTGGACCACTGTCGACCCGCTGATGGCAAAGCTGGTGGTCCACTGGCATTTTGCTCAGCGTTTTCGTGGCGGCCCACCGGTAGTTAAGCAGAGTAATAGACAAAATTCCACTTATCATCACTCATTTTCTGCTCACAGTCCAGTTTACTGATTTTTCCTTCCTTTTTTCAGTTATACTTTGTAAATTAGTTTAGTAAACAATGTCAATCTAACACAGCGTCATCAACAACATTGTCTATAAAAAGTTTTATATTAGTACTAGTCATTATTTTTTCTCTCCCTGTTGTTTGTGATATTTGTCTTAGATTATTTTCTAAAATAAAAGTCTCTGTGCATTTAAAATCTGTTTGAGGAGATTAAAAGCTTGTTGCTTGTATACAGGACAGTAATCTGGGGGGTCCAAGGGTGAACCAGCAATGACATGTAGTCGACCTTATCAAGCCAGCGGACCGATATGTGCTCACTATCTGGGAATACACTGCAGTGTTTATATGAAATAAATTGACAGCTCATATTATGTCCTGCATCTCGCCTGCAGTAAAGTCTGCAGAAATACGATCTCATGACGGCTACACAAAAAATTCAAAGAACATTCGAGCCCCAGTGCTATTATGTTCAACCACAAAAACAAACTAGTATGTTAGAGCGTACTCAGGGTCAAATTTATACCGTTCGAAAGCTACAAACCTTATATGCAAATATATACAGTCTTTCAATGCTTTAAAGGGCCCAAATTCTACACTTTTTTGTACTTTATCGTGTCCTTTAAGGTCCAAAGATAACATTTTTGTCTTTTTATGTTCCAAACACAGTCAGAATTCATTTTACATGACTGTTTTCCAATCTCTGTTTATCTCTCGGAATTAAACTGTTCTTGTTTACTGTGCCTTTAAGACTGTTTTATGTAAATGATCTCTGTTCTGATAGGCGGTCCTGCATAAGGGCCTCAGAAAGGCAGTTGACACAGAAACTGGGTGGGGCTAGGCTGAATAGGAAGATATTTGTAAGCCTGCTGGTTTCTGTGATCTTACAAATGCAATTCAGAATGTTTTTTACAGCTTAATGTCCATGTATGGACTGTATAGACTGGAGACTGAATGATACATTTAGAAACTATATTTACATCCTATAACTAAGCTCTCTATATAAACTCATTTAAAAAAGCAAGGAAATGTGTTTTTTTTTCGAAGATATGGGCCCTTGCATCTTAACCTAAAACAAATATTGCATCTTCATTATTGTCCACAATGATCATTAAGACCCTGGGGTAAGAATCAGTTCCGTTCACAGCTGAATGTTGACCTCACTGTGAGTGCCATCACCATCGATAGTGCTCTCATTGCCATCGGACAGAAATCCGCTTCCAGAGCGCTGCATCCTGCTCTCCAGCGAGGTCAGCCTCTGCTTGAGCCGCTGTTGCGTGGCCGAGTATTCTCCCATCAGCCGGGCGAAGCGGGTCTGCAGCGTATCCAGGGACGCCTCCAGACGTTCCACTTTCTCCTCCATCTGTTCCCCCGTAAGCCCTCCTGCCCTCAGATCTTCAAGCAGGCCCTCCTTCCTGAGGATCTCCCGTCCCCTCTCCTCCAGCACCTTCTTGGCGTCAGGGTATTCCATCACAGCTTCCATCAAGTCGTCCTTGGACAGGCAGAAGAGGTCCGAGTAGCCGATGCTTCGGATGTTGGCTGTGCGGCGGTTGCCCATTTTGCTGCCCTTGATGTTGAGGATGCTGATCTCACCGAAGCAGCTGCCAGACGTCAAGAGGGCAAACTGCGTCACCCCGTCATCAGCCACCACGGCCAACCGACCCTCCTTGATGATGTACATCTCCTTACCGATGTCACCTTTCCGACAAATGTAGTCACCAGGGCTGAAGACCTGAGGCCGCAGCTTGAGAACGAGCTCCACCAAGAGGCCGGCTTCACAGTCCTGGAAGATCCGCACCTTCTTCAGAGTCTCCAGGTGCACGTTGATCGCGATTTCCGCCCGCAGCTTGTTGGGAAGGTTCTTGAGCACCTCTTGCTCGTCAATGGCTTTCTTGTTGGTCCACAGGTAGTCGAACCATTTAATGACCCGAGCCTCCAGCTCTTTGCTGACCTTGCGGAACTGCATGTAGTGCTTGATGGCATCAATGCGGGCCTGGAACTCGGCACGTGTGGCGTTCATGTTGGATATCATGGATCCTACATTGCCAACGATGGTGGCAAAGATAAGCACGCCAACTAGGAAGTCAAAGATCACAAAGAGGTACTCCTCGTCACGCACCGGCGCGGGCATTTCCCCTATCGTGGTGAGCGTGAGGGTGGACCAGTAGAGACAGTAGACGTATTCTCTTGTCAGGGTGCCAAACTCCGGGTCAGACATGTTGGGGTAGACCCACTGGTCCGAGCCGAAGCCGAGAGACTTTGAGATGGCGAAGTAGATGCAGGCATTCCAGTGGATGATGACCAGGATGTAGAGCACCAGGTTGCTGATGCGAAATGTGTTGGGGTAGCTTGTGCGAGTTTCTGTGCGGTCGAAGAATTCGAACATTCGGGAGAAACGCATCAGGCGATTGAAGCGCAGCTCCGGCACATGGATGCCAGTAGCAATGTAGGCCAAGTCTGTGGGGAGGATGGACAGGAGGTCTAACTTAAACTGGAGGGTACGGATGTAAGTATCTCTTAACTTTTTGAGGTCCTTCACCAGAAGACCCTGCTCCAGGAAACCTGCATTGTGGAAATCAGACATGTAAGTTGGTAGGAATTAAAACCTTTCCAAACGCAGTGGTGTACTCTGCAAAATGATATTTCAACCTGCACAATTTTTCCCAGATGTATGATTGTTGACCAAGGCTTCTGACCTGTTCTCAGTCTCACACAGGTGTCCAGTATGTAGACGAGATCAGAGAGGTAATCCAGAACCAGCCACACAATGTAGTTGTTGGTTTGAAGCTCATCAAAGCAGGCCCTGTTTTTGAAATATGAATGGCTAGATTGTGAGCCTGCAGCAGGAAATGCCCCCTTGCGCTTGGCACAGTCTCAGATATTTACATAAATCATCATTAAAATGAGAGTCCCAAATTAGACCTGCTTGCTTTATTAGGTTTGAAGCTCTTAAATCGGTTGTTTTTAATGAAGCAAACAGCTCATCCAGACCAGGCCCACCTGCCTCATCAGCTAGTTTTGGTCTGGATAAGAAACTCGAATGGTTTTAAACGGTTGAATGGTTCAAAGTTCTTATAATTTTACCAAAACCGATGTAATCAGCTTTCTGTAAGGAAAAAGTCTGTCTTTTTTAAAGCAGTAGAATAGACTTCTGCCAAAAATGTAAGAAAGAGAATGGGGCTCTTTACCTGGCCACCAGGAGGCACCAGTTGTACAGTACAGCTGTGGCAATGACAAGCAGCCAGTGGTAGTACAAGTCATCTGCTGGCGCAAGGATGAACGCATCTGACTTCTTCCTATTGATGAATTCGCAAAGATCTTTGAATGTTTTGCATAGTAAAAGTTCTTCACAGCAAGTCTGAACTCTTAAGTTAAGCCAACTCTGATTTATTGATAACAGTAATAATAGGGAGTCAAGTGCTGCACTCAAAAATGACCAGGGAACCAACATGTGTCTTTGTTGATGAACGAAATGTTAATAATGGTAAAACAGCAGTTTGGATTTGGCCACTATTTTGCAGTACAACACCCTGCATACCTTTTTACTATTAATGGATTAAAAAAAAATACACTTGGAGCCGAAACCTCATCTGAAAACTACTGTGAAACAGACGTTACAGATAGATAGATAGATAGATAGATAGATAGATCCCTCTTTATTTCATAGGTGATGGAAGAGGACAGAGGGCCTTACTTTGTTTTGTTGCCGCTGTCCGAGTTGTGCTGGTCCGGCCTGTTGCTGCTGATGCGGCTAGGAGCCATGCGAAGCTCGGGCCCACGGAAACGCTCCAGGAAAGAGTCTGGCCTCTCCTCCTCTTCCTGGAGACTCTTATGGGCCCATTCCCGGAGTGTCACCACCATACTCACCAACCTGGAGTACACGAGAGCTTCACTCTAAACACATTTTATTATGGTGTATTTTATTCTGCACTGTGTTTTTACAGGTAGGTTTGTTCCCACATCAGTTTTTTTTCAGTTCACATATTAACACATTAAATACTGCTTCAGTACCAAGCTGAGCTACACCAAGCTGCTACTGTTAAAGGGGAATTCCACAAAATCCAAAATCGCTCCATGGTTAAGTGGTTAAAATATAAACAAAGAAATTCAGGTTTGACATGAAATCCTATGCTCTAGAGAAATTGTCAGATTTGTTTAGAGTGGTGGTGATAGGAACCAGACGTCTGAAGCACTTAATATCTTTAAAAGCTACCACACAATCACATGATATGGTTACAGATGTGTTGCCGGATGCCTGAGGCATTGTTTCACAATAGTTTTGAGATAAAGGTTTGGACTAAAACTTGAAAAATGTCCAAAAATCCATTCATGACAAAAAGATTCATGCTTTGTATGGCAAAATATTACCCCAAAACAACTTTATTTTCAGATTTACTAGTATTTTATCATTATCAACATTACATATAAAAACTCGGAGGATACATGTAGGTTCACTGCTGATTGTGGACAGTAATTAGAATGGATATACTGGTGTTGTAGACATTTAACCCTCTGGTTCCTATCACCACCAGTGTGAAGATGTCTGTCAGTTTCTCTACGATTAACGATTTCATATCAGACCACTCTGATGTGATTTCATCTCAACAACTGAAGTATGAAGAGATTCTGATAAATCAGTAGAAATTCCCTTTAAATAGGTTCCACTCAGACACTGAAGGTAACTGAATGAATAGCCATCCCTTTGAGAACAGCGCTTACCGTGATAGGGCTCCTCTTCCACGGAAGGAGTTCCGGGAGTTCAGGCCACGAGGCTCAAGCGTGGCGACCCGCTGCAGTTCCGAAGATGTGTCGTCACATATAGACGGCCCACTTCGGCACACACAAGCCACGGTTAGTACACAACAGCATGATGTTCAATAGTTTCAGAACATGCAGCATACAGGGAGCTTAAATTCTACTCCGGAATGGGGAACTGTTTGGTCTAATCTTAGCAGAACGTCAAAAAATCTAGCACTTCAACTTATTCATTTCAAGGTTATTCATAGAGCATAAATCACACCATACAGAAGATTTAAAATGAAGCTCCAAACTACCCATTATTGTCATTTATACAACAGTCAGTTCCGGCCACACAAGCTGATTGGTTGAGAGGCGTTCTAACTGTGCTGTTATTTCACCATAACACAGTTTTTTTCACAAACACTGTATCACTCCGCTGAGACACCGTTGCTAAGCAACGATTTTTAGGAGACGCTCAAAACATTTGAACATTTTTACTTCATACTTTGCCACAAACAGAAAATGGATCACATTTGACCGGCAGCCGATTTGGTCAGACTCTGAAGATGAGACGACACTAAATTCCCAATGAACCCAACACCATTCGCCAAACTAAATGGGCTGTAAGATGCTTTACAGACTGGCTGGAGCAAAACAACATTAATATTGATCTGGCAAAAAATGACAAAACTGAGCTGAACTTGATATTGCAGCAGTTTTATGGCTCAGTCTGATTTGGTCAGACTCTAAAGATCAGACTACACGTTTGGCGAATGGTGTTGGGTTCATTTCTGGCTGATTCCAGGTTGTTTAGCTGTTCTTCTGTCACAGCTGCCAACTGAAAAGCTGCTCAGTGGTGATGACAGTTTGGGAATTTAGTGTGAGGAGCTGGAGAACGAACTGCCGGCTGTGCAGCGAGTGGGCGGAGCTCGTTACTCTGACGTAGCAACAAGCTGCTCGTTAAGGAACTATAATTTGGTGAAGGATCTGCGAACATTAAAACATATTAAACGCCGCGTTCACGGCCCAGTTTATTAATTTATTACTTTATTTATTTAACTGTCGTATTAAAGCAGTAGAACACTCGAGGAGTGTGTTATCACCAATAACATCACGGCTGTGATGATCTACGGCGACCAAATCACAGCCGTGATGTTATTTCAACACACTCCCTCTCGGGTTCTATTGCTTAAATATGTACTAACACTGCCCCTGGTACATTTTTACATATGTTCTGGGAATGTCCCTTTTTTGAAAAAGTCTGGAAATATGTAAATTCAGTGATGTCTGATTTCCTGGAAATTGAATATAATTGTGACCCATGTTTGTGTCTCCTGAATGACAACTCCAATATGGGGTCAAAGGTCTGTTGTTTTCTGGATTTACTGCTGCTAAAAAGACAATCCTACAAAACCGAGTCACACCTGGAATCATTTTGGGCTGTTAATTTACTTAACATGGCAAAACTCGAATGTACTGCTGTGCGACCTGACCATGCTGAGCCCATGACCGCTGAAACGTTACGTATTTTGGATTTTCTGCAAGGTTTGCATTGAACTCAGACACTTCCTCCTCTATTTAATTTTGCCTGTGAGGATGATTGTACCTATGATCTCTCTCACTGTATTTTTTATTACTGCTCCCCTTGTTGTTTATTATCTTGTGAAACAATAAAAATTCTTGCAGCAGAGGTGTCAGTCTTACCGGCTCAGCGTGCTGTCTGCTCTCTCAGAGTCCTCCTCCATTGAGGTCTTGACTGAGAGCCTGTGGGCTGTGAGATCTGTGCTCTCCTCCAGCACCTGGCCTGTCATGCTGTAACACAGTTTGTAGTTTAACACTCTCAAAAATCAAGGCGATAAAAAGGATTCTTTTCATGATACCATAGAAGAACCACCTTTAATGGAAGATTCTTTAGAAACAAACCACACCTTTGTGGGTCAAGTCCCTCCAATGGGAGAGGAATCCTCAAATTGGTATAGAACCTTTACATCAGTAGTCGCCAACCTTCCTCCTGGAGATCGGCTGCCCTCTAGAGTTTAGTTGCAACCTGCATGTACAACCCTAATTCCAAAAAAGTTGGGACGCTGTGTAAAATGTAAATAAATGTAAATAAAAACAGAATGCAATGATTTGCAAATCTCATAGACCCATATTTTATTCACAGTAGAACATAGAACACATATCAGATGGAGAAAGTGAGACATTTTACCATTTCATGAAAAACATTAACTCATTTAGAACTTAATGGCAACAACGCATCTCAAAAAAGTTGAGGGGCAACAAAAGGCTGGAAAAGTAAGTGGTACTAAAACCACCAAAAGAGCTGGAGGAGCAATTGGCAACTAACTCACATGACTGGGTATAAAAGGGCATTTTAGAGAGGCAGAGTCTCTCAGAAGCAAAGATGGGCAGAGGTTCACCAATCTGCAAAAAACTGGGTCTAAAAATTGTGGAACACTTTCAGAAAAATGTTCCTCAACATAAAATTGCAAAGACTTTGGACATTCCACCATCTACAGTACATAATATCATCAAAAGATTCAGAGAATCTGGAGAAATCCCTGCACGCAAGGCACAAGGCCGACGGTCAATTTTGGATGCTCATGATCTTCGGGCCCTCAGGCGGCACTGCATTAAAATCAGGCATGATTCTGTACTGGAAATCACTGCAGGGGCTCAGAAACACTTCCAGAAATCACTGTCTGTGAACACAGTTTGCTGTGCAATCCACAAATGCAAGTTAAAGCTTTATCATGCAAAGAAGAAGCCGTATGTCAACACGATCCAGAAACACTGCCGTCTTCTCTGGGCCAAAGCTCATTTAAGATGGACTGAGGCAAAATGGAAAACTGTACTGTGGTCAGATGAATCAAAATTTGAAATTCTTATTGGAAACCACAGACAGGGATGCTACACAAATGTCCCAACTTTTTTGAGATGTGTTGCTGCCATCAAGTTCTAAGTGAGTTAATATTTTTCATGAAATGGTAAAATGTCTCACTTTCTCCATCTGATACGTGTTCTACGTTCTGTTGTGAATAAAATATGGGTCTATCAGATTTGCATTTGTTTATTTAGATTTTACACAGCATCCCAACTTTTTTGGAATTGGGGTTGTAATATGTTGCCCCTTCCCCTGCCTAACACTAATGCATCTGATACATCCAATCAAGGATTTCTAAAGAAGGTATTTAGCTGGACTGTGGTTGGAAAGAAATCTCCTGCCCTGAAGGGCAAAACTAGGGTTGGTGATTTTTTAGTTTTTTGCCTTACATTATATGAATGATCTTTAAACTTTTTAAAAAGTTCTTCACACTCACAAAAGTGTGGTTCTTCTGTAGTATTGCTCAAAGTACCTGCAAAGAGTAGTAATACTTTTCAAAGCCTAAAATATTGGTGCTAAAATCTAAAGCCTTTGTATTGGTTTGAAGAACCAGATGAGGAGTTCAAGATGTTGCCCTGGCCTACAAATTCCCCAGATCTCAATCCGATAGAGCATCTGTGGAATCTGCTGGAACAAGAAGTCTGACCTCGCAACTTACAGGAGTTTAAAGGATCTGCTGCTAACATACCACAAGGCACCTTCAGAGGTCTTATAGAGTCCCAGCCTCGGTGGGTCGGAGCTGTTTTGGCTGCATGTAGAGGATCAACAGCATATTAAGCGTAATGGTCATAATGTTTTGGCTCATTCGTTTGTGTTCCTCATCCTCAAGCCCTTCATTAGTGGTCAGTTTCTGACCTCAGAGTGCCTCTTGGCTGGACCTTTTTGGGTGGTGGACCACTCTCAACCTAGCAGTGACACTGATGTGAGTGAAAACCCCTGCAATCCGACTGTGCCATCCCTAAGGTTGTTGATGCTGCTTCATCATTTGAGAATGCAGTTCTGCTGCTCCTCAGCCCAATGCAGGGGGGCTTATACCCCTCTAGCCGACACTTGGCAGTCAACAAAACAGGTGATTTAACCAGGTGTGCCCTAACTTCTGCAAACATATGAACATAATCTTCAACAAAACATCTGTATTCCTTACAATTCCATATAAAATGTGCAAACTTCATGGTCTACATTCAATAGAGGCAGTCATAGTCAAAGCTTTGTGTCTGAAATACTCGTCTTTGCTCCACCAGACCAAATTCACAACTTCTACCATCTCAAAACTACGGAAATGAAGCGTTCCATTCAGTGTTTTACATTTATATGATGAAACTCATTGTAAATTCAGCCAATAAACAGTAATTGTGCATTATAATGTGCAGAATTGTGGTCTCTGTACAGGATGTGTGTTTTTATTTCAACAAAATAAGTAATATAACATTTTATGTTCATAATCTTCTCCTCAGCCCAATGCAGGGGGGCTTACACCCTTCTAGCCGACACTTGGCATTGGGCATGGTGACGTTAAGCTCATGTGCAGCTACTCCAGACCATCCTATTCTGTTGCCAATGCTTCAATGAAGATTGTACCAGCTGTGACAGCATCGGGTGCCCCTTAATGTAACTGAAATTACTAGATAATATTAGTATTAATAATACTAAAGGGGTGCCTGGATACTTCGGATATAGTATAGATTATGATGTAGTGTATGGTAACCGCATATGCACATTGTGCTGTTAACATATATGTGGTTGTCCCAAACGCTGCAGTTGTGACTACAGGACATCATGTGTATGAGGTCAAGAAGGGCGACCAGTCCAGAGCAAATCCTTCAGAGAAGTTGCTGTCACCGTGGAGATATCCTTGGCGCCCATAGCAACAACATGTAACATAGTAGTGATTAATTCCCCACTATTTGAGTCGATAAGTGCCGGAGGCAGTGAAGTGGCTCATGACAGCTTCTTCTGTAAGCTCTTATACAACCATAGAACATGAGAAGAGACACAGGCTGACCAGAGGAGACGCACCAAACCCAAAGGACTGGGTTTTTACCTCATTTGAAGCTGATTTACCTGCTCGCCAGCAGCCCTGAGCTGATTAGTGTATTTGTCGTAGTAATCCAGTTAGTTTTACACTGAGCTTCACACGAGGTTTGCACCAAATACATTCAGATTAAAGGATTGAAATGGAAAGTAATCATTTGCCTGATTTTAAAGACGATTACAGGGACCAATCCAGCTTAAAACATCACATTTTACATGAAATATGTGACTACCGTATGATAAGATTAGAGCACGCTCTACGTACACTGTGAAGCAAAGTGGAGCAGCAGCAAGACAGAAGGAACATCAACTGATATGTTGCTGCCGGAATAAACCCTCATGTCCATTTTTGCCTTTTTTAATATTATTTGCCAGCTGCCCTTTACATGGTGTGAAAATATGATGAATGGACCAACAGAAATGGTGCAAAATGACTTGGAATAATTTCTTTATGCATTAACTTTCTTCTTTGCCCTGTGAAGTTACCACTTCAGTCCTGGTAGTGAAGTTAGATTGTCAAATGCAAAAGTTTGAAAAGCATCTCGAATGACATTTTGTTGATTTTCTGGATATAAAATACGCATTTTATGTCTATTTTTTCCCAATATGTTCAATTCAATATGTTAAATTTGTATGGAGAAGCTCATTTTAAATTCAGCCAATAAACAGTAAATGTGTATTAAAATGTGCAGTCAACAAAACAGGTGATTTAACCAGGTGTGCCCTAACTTCTGCAAACATATGTACATAATCTTCAAGAAAACATCTGTATTCCTTATAATACCATATAAAATGTGCAAACTTCATAGTCTACATTCAATAGAGGCAGTCATAGTCAAACCTTTGTGTCTGAAATACTCGTCTTTGCTCCACCAGCTTCAATTCACAATTTCTGCCATCTCAAAACTACAGAAATGAAGCGTTCCATTCAGTGTTTTATATTTATATGATGAAACTCATCGTAAATTCAGCCAATAAACAGTAATTGTGCATTAAAATGTGCAGAATTGTGGTCTCTGTACAGGATGTGTACTTATTTCTACATCAACAAAACAAGTAATTTAACATTTTATGTACATAAACTTCAGATACATGAAGAAAACTTTTATATTCCTTATAAAACCAAACCATAAAATGGGCAAACACTGTAGTCTACATTCTGCAATAGAGGCAGTCGTGGTTAAAAACTTTGTACTGAGTTACTCACTTGTCTTTGCTCCACTGGAGGTTTGTCTTCTTCCCAAAACTATTCTTCTTTCATGGAAATGAAGCGTTCCATGTTTATAGCATCCAAGTATCTTCTCTGCTAAGGGAACTCTCCCTGAAAGCTTTCAAAGTGTCTGCTGTGCTCTTTCACCTCTGAGCGCATCACACTTCTACGAGGCAGAGGCAGAGGCAGAGGTACGCCAGTCACGACCGGAATGAATACGCATCAAATCAGGACACCGGAGAGCGAGAGAGGCGCTGAGAGAGGCAGAGTGGGGAGGGGAGGTGGAGAATGGAGGGATGAGAGGAGAGATGGTACCATATGGCACTTCAGGCATCACACACTCCTCTCCGTCCTCTCTGCACATCACACTCCGGGAACCAGAGCGAAGCTAAATGACATTTTGTCCACCTTCTGTTGGTATCAGCTCACAGAGCAGAGCATGGAGGAAAAGGGATCACGCTGGACGGACGGCTGTCCTTTTGTTTGGTGAAGCTCATTGTAATTCAGACAGGCCCTCGTCTCTTTGAAGTGTGCTGATTGCACAGAGTGTCACGCTTTTCCATGTGGATGATGCTTGATTGCGTGAGGATTATAGGACCTCCACTTGCTGCAGGATCTCTAAATCATAACGTTTTTGATGCAGAATTGAAAAAATGCAAAATGAACGTGCAAAACAAATCATATTT